GTGGGAGCGGCGGAGCGCGGGGTGCGGGTGGGGGTGGTGGTGGAGTCGGGTCGTCGGTGCCGGTGCGGACGTGGGGACCCTGCCCAGTCCAGCTGCCCCGCTGCCTCCACAGTCGCAGCAGCAGCAGCAGCAGCAGTCGCCGCAGCCGCAGCCTTCGCAGCAGCCGCAGCAGCCCGCCGCAGACGAGGCAGGCGAGTGCTCTCCCGCCTGGGTGGCCTGGAGCTGGTGGTGGTCGTGCGCGTGGTGGTGCGCCGGGTGGTGGTTCTGGAGGCGGGCGCTGTCAGTACCAGATCCAGACCGGTCCTCGCCGCGGTTTCGTTTGCGGTAAGATCGGTCATTCCACTCCTCGCTGTTTTCGTCGTCTGGACGACCTGTTCCGTCAGCGGCTTTGGCCCGGCGCCCGACCTCCCGGACTGGCACAGCTTGCTTAGGCGTAGCATTCAGATTTTTGACTTGGACATGGATGCCATTGTAGCAGCCTTGCATGTGATGTATGCTGATGACTCTAGTGTGCTTCCCTCTTATTACCCTGTGTTGCCTAGTGTAGATGTGCCTGTCGTAGCCTCCCCTGCTGCGTCAGGCGTAGGATCTCCTGCTTTGCTTAGCCTCGGTGCTTCCACCGCTTCAACTGCCGCCTCGCGCGACTGCTGCGCTTTCCTTCACCTTGGACTCTGGCGCCTCCCGGTGTTTCTTCCGCGACTCCACGACGCTGACGCCGCTGCCTGTTCCCGCTGCAGTTACTCTTGCTGACCCCTCCGGTGGTCCCGTCGTTGCCCGCAGTTCCACCTCCCTTCCCTGTCCGGCGGTTCCTTTCAGGTTCGCTCACAGGTCTGCATATCCCCTCGTTCTCCAGGAACCTAGTTGGTGTCGGCTGCCTCCAGGACCTTGGCGTCACCACTACGTTCCCTGGTCACGAGCGGTATGCTGTCTGTACCGAGGCCGCCACTGGTGCCCCCTTACCACTTTCCCCTGGACCCGGTGTCCGGCCTGTTCACACTTGACACCGCGACTTCCCCGGCTGGGTCTTCCCCCCAGGTCGCTGCGTCCACCCAGGTTGCTGCTGCGTGCTCCTGTCGGTCCCTCACTCACCCGACTCTCCTTTGGCCACCACCGCCTTGGTCACCCTGCACTCCCGCGTCTGCGTCACATGTCCCAGCACGGTCTCGTCCTTGGTCTCCCCGGTTCGTTCCCCGAGTTTCCCTCCTCCCCCCGCCCCCCCGTGCACGCCTTGTGGTCGAGGGCCGGCTCCGCCGTGCCCCTCACTCCTCCTCGTTTCCCTACCACCGCACCACTGCAGACTCTGCACATGGACGTCTGGGGCCCAGCCCCAGTCCATGGGCCGCGTCGCGAGCGCTTCTTCCTAGTGCTTGTCGACGACTTCACGCGCTACACCACCGTCTTTCCCCTGGAGCGGAAGGCCGACGTGCCTGACGTTCTCATCCCTGGCTTGTCTCTGCTCGTGTCCACCGCGGTCTCCCTGCCTTGCGCCTCCACTCCGACCGGGGTGGCGAGTTTGCCTCAGGTGTCCTTGGTCGCTTCTGTCGTGCGGAGGGCATCACCCAGACGTTTACCCTGCCGGACTCCCCGCAGCAGAATGGGGTCGCTGAGCGACGCATCGGTTTGGTCATGGAGGTGGCTCGCACCTCCATGATCCACGCCGGTGCACCCCATTTTCTGTGGCCGTTCGCCGTGCGCTACGCCGCTCACCAGCTTAACCTGTGGCCGCACCCCCAGCGGCCGCCGGTTTCGCCGACCCTTCTGTGGACCGGGTCCCCTGGTGACGCGTCTGCGTTCCACGTCTGGGGCTGCCTTGCTCACGTTCGTGCCTCTGGCACGGACAAGCTCACTGCCCGCATCCTCCCCTGCGTCTTCCTCGGTTTCCCCCTTGACGCGTCCGACTGGCACTTCTACCACCCGCCGTCTCACCGCTTCTTTCACTCTCGCGACGTCACCTTTGACGAGTCCGTCTCCTTCTACCGCCGCTTCCCCACCGTGGTCCCCCGGTTACTCCCCCCCCTGTTCCTGGTCCCTCCTTCCCCGGTGGTCCCTGCCCCTCCCCCCCCCGCCCCCCCGTCCGGCCCCCTCTGGTGTGTCTCACGTCACCCCCCCTCCCGTCGGTCGTCCCGGTCGACGAGTCTTCTGACTCTGGTAGTCCTCCGGCACAGTCCTCGCCGTCTGTCCCCTCCCCGGTGTCTCCTCCTCCACCGCCTCCGCGCTGCGAGCTGCTGCCGTCGTCTCCACCGCCGCCGCCGTTGCAGCCGTCGTCGCCGCCGCCGCCGCAGTCGTCGCTGCCGCTGTTTGTGGACTCTGGGGGTGCTGGCGTTGAGGTGGGTACTCGTCCCGGGGCTCCTGTCGTGGCTTGTCCCGGCAGGCCTGGGGGTGGTACCGGTGCCGGCGGGGTTTCGTGCTCTGGGGGTGTCCCTTCTGGGGGTGCCGGTGTGGAGGGTTCGGGAGGTAGCAGTCGCGCAGCTTGTGCCCCTGGCGTTGGTGTTGTGTCGCCGCAGCAGCAGTCCCCGCCGGTGTCCGCCCTCCGTCTGCTCGGCCTTCCGTCCCCTGACCCTGCGCCTGTTCCTCACCTGCCGTCTCCTCCTCTTCCTGTCTACGGCCCCGTGTTCCCTCCGCCGGACTCGTCCCCGGCTCGTTTTCCTCCTCGTTCCCCACCAGTGTCCCCTCCTCTGTCTCCTGACCCGACGCCTCCCTCTCACGTCTGGTCTCGCCGCCCCTCCCGTGCTCGTCCTGTCTCCCCCGTCCCGCGCTCTCACCCTATGTTGCTCCGGTCCCACGTGTCTCGTCCTCCCCTCCTCCCGTCTCCTCCTCCGTCCTCTCTTGTTGTTGCGTCTCCTCCTCTGTCTGACTACTTTCGTGCCGCTCGTCCTCTTGTTCCTCGGGTCCTTGCCTCTCTGGTTACAGACCCGTCTGTTCCAGTGTCGAGTCTTGACGCCCTTGTCGCTGCGGTCGCTGACTTCGCCTCTACCCGCCGCCTTGACTACGCTACCGCTCTGGTCTCCGACCCTGCCTGTCCTCCGTCTGTCGGGGGTGCTCCTGCCCTCGGCAGTGACGTCCTGGAGGACCGCCAGTACGAGCTTGCTTTCCTGTCCGAGGCTGCTCCCCATCTCTGTTCCATGCTGCTAGTCCCTGAGGGTGACCCAGACGCTTTCGACATCCTGACCCCTCGTACTTACGCTGAGGCGGTTTCGGGACCCTGGGCCTCTCAGTGGATAGCTGCCATGGAACAGGAGATGGCATCTTGGAGATCCACCGGCACCTTCGTCGACGCAGTTCCCCCACCTGGGGTGAACGTGGTCGATGGCCGTTGGCTCTTCAAGGTGAAGCGCCCTCCTGGAGAGCCGCCTGTGTTCAAGGCGCGCTACGTGGCTAGAGGCTTCAGTCAGCGCGAGGGGGTGGACTTCTTTCAGACTTTCGCTCCTACGCCGAAGATGACTACTCTTCGGGTTCTGTTACACGTAGCGGCTCAGCATGACTACGAGCTTCACTCCCTCAACTTCTCCACTGCCTTCCTTCAGGGCAGCCTTCACGAGCAGGTCTACCTGCGTCGTCCTCAGGGCTTTACTGGCACTTTCCCCCCTGGGACCCAGTGGCTTCTGCGGCGTCCAGTCTACGGCCTGCGCCAGGCGCCTCGTGAGTGGCACGACACTCTCCGTGCTACCCTTGCTGACCTGCAGTTCTTTCCGTCCTCTGCAGACCCCTCGCTCTTCGTTCGTGCTGGCCCGACCCCGTTCTACATCCTTGTCTACGTAGACGACCTGGTCTTTGCCACAGCTGACAGGGACGCACTGGCCTCCGTGAAGGCAGAGCTGCTGAAGAGACACACCTGCACTGACCTTGGAGAGCTGCGCCGTTACCTTGGCTTGCAGATCTCCAGGGACAGAGCCGCGCGCACCATCACCCTGACTCAGTCACACTTGGTGCGCCAGGTCCTTCAGAGGTTCGACCTTCAGTTCTCCTCCGCACAGCCCACCCCTCTTCCTCTGGACCACAGACTCTCCGCTCCAGTTCCTGAGGAGTCGGTAGATCCCAGTGGTCCTTACGCTGAGCTAGTGGGTTGCCTCATGTACCTGATGACTTGCACTCGCCCAGATCTCGCATACCCTCTCAGCATCCTGGCTCGTTTCGTGGCCACAGGCAGACACCGACCTCAGCACTGGTCTGCCGCTAAGAGGGTTTTGCGTTATCTTGCAAGTACATCGGGCATGGGGTTAGTGCTAGGCGGACGCAGGCCAGTGGTCCTTACTGGACACACAGACGCTTCTTGGGCAGACGACGCCGAGACGCTCAGGTCTTCCCAGGGCTACTGCTTTAGCCTTGGCTCAGGTGCTGTCTCGTGGAGAGCTACCCGCTCCTCGTCTGTTGCCCAGTCCAGCTGTGAGGCTGAGATCTACGCCGGTGCCATGGCGGCACAGGAGCTCCGCTGGCTGACCTTCTTGCTCACTGACTTAGGTGAGCGGCCTAGCTCTGCCCCGGTCTTGTACGCTGACAACAGGGCCATGATCCTCCTGTGTCAGGAGCCTCGACTCGAGGGTAGAGCGAAGCACATCCAGCTGCGGTACTTCCTCCTGCGCGAGCTCCAGCAGCGTCGCCAGGCTCGCGTAGTACACTTGGCCTCCGGTGCCAACACAGCTGATATCTTTACGAAGGCGCTTGCGCCTAAAGATCATCAGCGGCACTGTGTACAGCTTGGTCTGGTTCCTGTAGTCCCTCACTTACTCGGGCCTTGACTTTGTACTGTCCTATATATATGTGTACACTCAGACTGGATTGTGTCCCCTCACAGTGGCTGGACTAGTAGTGCCGCCCTGAGCTCCTTGTTTAGGACATTCCCCTATGCAGTCCAGGGGGTGTGTCAAACATGTTTATTGATCATGTTTGTATAGGCTGTATAGGGTAACCTCCTAGAGGGTACAACATTTAGGTATATGTGCATGTACTCTCTAACTCTATCATTATTCAATTCTAGTTTTGAGAGTTATTGCTGGACCGTACTGAAACAAATGTCATACACACTTTGGGACGCGGATAAAGCCCCCACATGTCAGAGCAGAGCAGAGGAAATTTGCGAGTACAGTGCGACCCATTCTCTACATCAACTCAATATTAATGCTTAGCATTGAGTCACATTTTTGCTTCAACCTTCTCACTTATGTGCTTGGCTTGAGCATTCCATCGAATTCCACACCCATAAGTGTTGAATATTTTGTCATCAGTATGCGACAGGGCCTATGCCCTCCATCGGGGCAATGGCAGTACATCCTGCCCTCCATCGGGGCGATGGCAGTACATCCTGCCCTCCATTGGGGCGATGGCAGTACATCGGAGTCGGACCAGCAGTAGCAGCTCCCCAGGAGCAGCAGTCCCCCCCAGCACGCCACAAGTCGGTTGCAGCACCTCCTGCCCTATCCTCTCCTCTCACCGCTGCCGCACAGGCTGCCGCCTTCCCTTGCACCACGGGCATGGCAAGGAGCACGAATGACAACTCGCACGGGAGCGCTGACCCTGCCTGGTGTGATGGGAGCAGGTGCTGGTGCGAGGTGCTGTCGCAAATGCTGGTGCGAGGGTTTGTAATGGGGCGGGCAGGGAGTGGGAATAGGGGGAGAGGAGAGCACAGAGGCGCGAGGCTCTTGGGCATGAGGCAACGAAGGGCACGCGGCAACGAAGGGCACGCGGCAACGAAGGGCACGCGGCAACCAAGGGCACGCAGCAACCAAGGGCACATGCAAGGAAGTAAAGACGACCAGGGGAGGATACGCGGGACAAAGGAACAAGGGGGCACCTGCGGGTGGGAGGAGAGGGACAAGGGAGGACATGCGGCTGGGAGGAGAGAGAAAAGGGAGGACATGCGGCTGGGAGGAGAGAGAAAAGGGAGGACATGCGGCTGGGAGGAGAGAGACAAGGGAGGACATGCGGCTGGGAGGAGAGAGACAAGGGAGGACATGCGGCTGGGAGGAGAGAGACAAGGGAGGACATGTGGGTGGACATGCAGCGCCTTTCTCGGTAGTAGCCTCAAGACTTGCCCGGGCCTGGCGGCGGAGCGGCGCTTCAAGCAGCCCATGTGCCCGCCTCTCCCCATGTGCCCGCCTCTCCCCATGCGCCCGCCTCTCCCCATGCGCCCGCCTCTCCCCATGCGCCCGCCTCTCTCCATGTGCCCGACTCTCCCCATGCGCCCGCATCTCCCCATGCGCCCGCCTCTCTCTATGCGCCCGCCTCTCCCCATGCGCCCGCCTCTCTCCATGCGCCCGCATCTCCCCATGCACCCGCCTCTCTCCCTGCTGGCACCCACCACGCCCCGTAAACCCAATCGTTCCGCTTTCACCTCACCAAGCGCGGAGGGTGGGGCAGGCGGGGGCGGGGGGGCATCAACTGGTTCTGTGCCCCCCTCAGCGCCCCCCTCAGCGCCCCCCTCAGCGGCCCCCTCAGCGCCCCCCTCAGCGCCCCCCTCAGCGCCCCCCTCAGCGCCCCCCTCAACACCCCCCTCAACACCCCCTCAACACCCCCTCAACAGCCCCCTCTCCACCGCGCCTCCAGCCATCTCCACCCACGCCGCCCTCCCTTCCTCATGCTCCACCTTCCTCATGCTCCACCTTCCTCATGCTCCACGCCCCACAGCCAGGCAACACAGGCAACACGGGCAGCACGGTCAACACGGGCAACACAGTCAACACGGGCAACACGGTCACTGCACCCATGCGCCACGCCTCCTCCCATCTTCCTCTCTTCGCACACCTCGCCCTTCCCCTGCCCAGCATGCGCGCCGCGTCTGCCGCCTCTCCAGCCCTCGCGAGCTGCGCGCTGCTCTGCTCTGCTCCGCCCCATCGCCCTCCGCCTCTCCGCCCCATCGCCCTCCGCCTCTCCACCCCATCGCCCTCCACCTCTCCGCCCCGACCAGCATGTGCTTCACCACGCTCTGTGTGCTGTCGCTGCCATTCGCTGCGGTCAATGCGCCATCTGCCCGTCCTCATCCCCATCTGCCCGTTCTCATCCCCATCTGCCCGTCCTCATCCCCATCTGCCCGTCCTCATCCCCATCTGCCCGTTCTCATCCCCATCTGCCCGTTCTCATCCCCATCTGCCCGTTCTCATCCCCATCTGCCCGTTCTCATCCCCATCTGCCCGTCCTCATCCCCATCTGCCCGTCCTCATCCCCATCTGCCCGTTCTCATCCCCATCTGCCCGTTCTCATCCCCATCTGCCCGTCCTCATCCCCATCTGCCCGTTCTCATCCCCATCTGCCCGTTCTCATCCCCATCTGCCCGTCCTCATCCCCATGCACATACCTTTCCGCCACACCTCCATGTATCTCTCGCCACATGGCCCACCCCTTCTCTGCCTCCGCCAATACCCTCTTCAGCAGGCACTGTGTGCCGTCGTTGTCCACCATGGCCACGGCGCTCATGCACCATCTGTCCACTGCCCGGCGCTACCCCCATTCACCTGCCTCTCCGCACTGCCCGGCCCTACCCCCATTCACCTGCCTCTCCGCACTGCCCGGCCCTACCCCCATTCACCTGCCTCTCCGCACTGCCCGGCCCTACCCCCATTCACCTCCCTCTCCGCACTGCCCGGCCCTACCCCCATTCACCTGCCTCTCCGCACTGCCCGGCGCTACCCCCATTCACCTGCCTCTCCGCACTGCCTGGCCCTACCCCCATTCACCTGCCTCTCCGCACTGCCCGGCGCTACCCCCATTCACCTGCCTCTCCGCACTGCCCGGCGCTACCCCCATTCACCTGCCTCTCCGCACTGCCCGGCGCTACCCCCATTCACCTGCCTCTCAGCACTGCCTGCACACATCCCCCACCCTCCTCGCCCTGACCCTCCTCGCCCTGACCCTCCTCGCCCTGACCCTCCTCGCCCTGACCCTCCTCGCCCTGACCCTCTGCACCTCAACCACCTCGCCCTGACCCTCTGCACCTCAACCACCACACTCCTCAGCACGCTCTGTGCGCCGCCTGTCCAACTTCTTCAATGTGCTCATGCGACATCTGTGCCCTGCCCCCCCTGTACCCCATCCATATGCCTCTCCTTATCCCCATCCACATGCCCCTCCTTATCCCCATCCACATGCCCCTCCTTACACCCACCCACATGCCCCTCCTTATCCCCATGCGCCAGCCTCTCCCCCATGCCTCCATGCACCGCGCGCCACATGGCCCTGCCCCTCTCTGCCTCCGCCAGGACGCTCTTGAGCACGCTGTGCGCGCCGTCGCTGTCCAGAATGGCCACGGCGCTCATGCGACAGCGCGGGCGATTGAGTGCCTGATGGAAGAGAGGGGGGGGAGGGGTTTGGGGGACGGTGGGGGGAGGGAGAGGACAGGGGGGATGCGGAAGGAGGGGGAGGACAGGGGGGAGGGGGGAGGACGGGGAGGACAGGGGGGAGGGGGGAGGACGGGGAGGACAGGGGGGAGGGGGAGGACGGGGAGGACAGGGGGGAGGGGGAGGACGGGGAGGACAGGGGGGAGGGGGGAGGACGGGGACGACAGGGGGGAGGGGAGAGGAGGGGGTGAGGAGAGGGTGAGGATGGTGCAAGGTGCGGCCCCACAGCTGTCCAAGATGGCCACAGCGCTCATGCGACAACGAGGGCAATTCACGGACAGGGTGATGACGGTGATGACAGGGCGATGACAGGGCGATGACAGGGCGATGACAGGGAGATGACAGGGAGATGACAGGGTGATGACAGGGTGATGACAGATTGATGACAGGGTGATGACAGGGTGATGACAGGGAGATGACAGGGAGATGACAGGGAGATGACAGGGTGATGACAGCGTGATGACAGGGTGATGACAAGGTGATGACAGGGTGATGACAGGGTGATGACAGGGTAATGACAGCGAGATGACAGGGTGAGCAAAGGAGACATGTGAGAAAGGGAGAGCAAGGGAGGCATGTGAGAAAGGGAGAGCAAGGGAGACATGTGAGAAAGGGAGAGCAAGGGAGACAGGCGATAAAGGGAGAGCAAGGGAGACATGCGAGAAAGGGAGAGCAAGGGAGACATGCGAGAAAGGGAGAGCAAGGGAGACATGCGAGAAAGGGAGAGCCAGGGAGACATGCGAGAAAGGGAGAGCAAGGGAGACATGCGATAAAGGGAGAGCAAGGGAGACATGAGAGAAAGGGAGAGCAAGGGAGACATGCGAGAAAGGGAGAGCAAGGGAGACATGCGAGAAAGGGAGAGCAAGGGAGACGTGCGAGAAAGGGAGAGCAAGGGAGACATGCGAGAAAGGGAGAGCAAGGGAGACATGCGATAAAGGGAGAGCAAGGGAGACATGCGAGAAAGGGAGAGCCAGGGAGACATGCGAGAAAGGGAGAGCAAGGGAGACATGCGATAAAGGGAGAGCAAGGGAGACATGAGAGAAAGGGAGAGCCAGGGAGACATGCGAGAAAGGGAGAGCAAGGGAGACATGCGAGAAAGGGAGAGAAAGGGAGAGTCGAAGGTGGAATGGAGCAGCGAGAGAAGTGACAAAACATTGACCCCATGGTCGCAGAAAGAACAGCTGAAGCAACACCACCTGCAACCTTCAATACGTGCAATCTGTGTTTGCTACATGCTGGGCACACAGGCTGCATGACACACTGGGTGATACAGCAACCACTGGGTGATACAGCAGCCACTGGGTGATACGGCAACCACGGAATAATGCATGGCCGAACCTCGTTTTGCCACAACAATCCTCTTTTGCCTGCAATCCCCTCCCCACCACTGCCAGCCATCTCGTAGCGATTGCAGGCATCAGCGAAACGAAGCAGCAGCACAAAAGCATCCCTTTGCACCCCTACACCACCACACGTTACACGACCCAACTCACCCGCTCTCCCCTTTCCCCCTTTTCATCGCCCTCTAACACTTCCCCCCCCCCCCTCCCCCCTCTCCCCCCCCTTTCCCCTCACATGGCCTCACCTTGGCGAGGCGGCGCGTGGAGAGCGCCATCACCACGGGAATGCTGCGCCCCGCCGCCTCCGCCACGATCGACGCCAGGGCGGCGTCCAGCCCGCCTGAGAGGAGGATAGCCGGGGGCCACAGCAGCAGGGGCAGAGGGGCAGAGGGGCAGAAGGGGGAAGGAAGGCCAGGGGGGAGGAGAGGATTGGGCGTGCTGCAAGTGGCAGCATGGGCTGGATGGCCGCGAGGGCTGGGAGGGGCAGGGGGGGGAGCGGAGGGCTCGGATGGGAGGGAGGCGGACACAGAGAGGTCAGAGGAGGGAGGAGAACCCCCATCCGCGCCCATGTGCCCACCAGCGGCACCCATGTGCCCACCAGCGGCACCCATGTGCCCACCAGCGGCACCCATGTGCCCACCAGCGGCACCCATGTGCCCACCAGCGGCACCCATGTGCCCACCAGCGGCACCCATGTGCCCACCAGCGGCACCCTAAGTGGGAAAATTCGCCGGGGTCCCCAGCGTTTTGCATCAACATGCGAATTTACCTGAAATACGCGAATTCGCTGGGGAAATTTGCGGGCTAGCCCGAACAAAAAAAAGCAGAAAAAAAATCGCGAATCGCGATTGAATGCATTGAGCTCCGCCGCATCCTCCTCGCTAGTCGATCGATTCTAAGCATAGGATCCAGCTTATCTCACGAGAATCCCAGCTGCAATTTTGACCCCCCACGCCCACCCCACTACCTGGAAAACCGTTTTTTTGCCTGCCCGGTCAAATTATTTTCTGCCCGGGCAAAACGAGTTTCGGAGTGGATTTAAAATCGGGCCCAGGCATATGGGCGAATTTATGCCAAACGCGGCACCCATCTGGCCACCAGCGCCACCCCTTCTCTGCTAGGAGGCACGGCGCCCTTGGCTCTGCCAAACCCAGCCACGCTCCTCATCCCCCTCCTCCCATACCCCCCTCACACCACACCCTCCCTCTCCTCTCCTCCCATACCCCCTTTCTCTCACCCCCCCCCCCACCTCCTCTATGTTGGGTGGCACCACCACACAGTCGGTCGTGCCACCAGCACTGCCCACCCTCATCCCCCTCATCCCCCTCACCCCCCTCATCCCCCTCATCCCCCTCATCCCCTCATCCCCCTCATCCCCCTCATCCCCCTCATCCCCCTCATCCCCCTCATCCCCCTCACCCCCCTCACCCCCCTCATCCCCCTCATCCCCCTCATCCCCCTCATCCCCCTCATCCCCCTCATCCCCCTCATCCCCCTCATCCCCCTCATCCCCCTCATCCCCCTCATCCCCCTCATCCCCCTCATCCCCCTCATCCCCCTCATCCCCTCATCCCCCTCATCCCCCTCATCCCCCTCATCCCCCTCATCCCTGTCCGCCCTGCCCCCACCCCTCCTCTCCCTCACCTTCCCCCAGCACCTCCTCCACATTGGGCGCCAGCACGACGCACTTGGCCCGGCCTGTCCGCACAGCCTTGCCCACCTCCCTCAGCCCGCACAGCAGGCGCCGCCGCATGGCAGCCTGCCACGGTTGTGTGGGGCGTGTGCATGGGGGGGGGCGGAGGGGGGCAGGTGGGAAGGTGCCATGAGCATGCCACGCACGTGGCTCGGCCTGGGCCATGGCTTCCCCACCCCACCCGTGAGACAAACCACCCCACCCGCGCGCTCGCCAAGCTCGCCTCTCACCTTGCCGCGCTCGCCAAGCTCGCCTCTCACCTTGCCGCACTCGCCAAGCTCGCCTCTCACCTTGCCGCACTCGCCAAGCTCGCCTCTCACCTTGCCGCGCTCCCCAAGCTCGCCTCTCACCTTGCCGCGCTCGCCAAGCTCGCCTCTCACCTTGCCGCGCGCTCGCCAAGCTCGCCTCTCACCTTGCCGCGCTCGCCAAGCTCGCCTCTCACCTTGCCGCGCTCGCCAAGCTCGCCTCTCACCTTGCCGTGCTCGCCATGCTCGCCTCTCACCTTGCCGTGCTCGCCATGCTCGCCTCTCACCTTGCCGCGCTCGCCATGCTCGCCTCTCACCTTGCCGCGCTCGCCAAGCTCGCCTCTAACCTTGCCGCGCGCGCCAACCTCGCCTCTCACCTTGCCGCGCTCGCCATGCTCGTCTCTCACCTTGCCGCGCTCGCCATGCTCGCCTCTCACCTTGCCGCGCTCTCCATGCTCGCCTCTCACCTTGCCGTGCCACACTCTCACCTTGCCAAGCTCTCACCTCGCCAGGCTCTGCTAGGGCCTGAAGTGGAATAACCCCAGATAATGAATGGAAGCCAGACCCATTCACCTTGCCAGACTCACTCATCTTGACGGGATCTCATCTTGACGGGATCTCACCTTGATGGGATCTCACCTTGATGGGATCTCATCTTGACAGGATCTCACCTTGACGGGATCTCACCTTGACGGGGATCTCACCTTCACGGGATCTCACCTGGAGAGGATCTCACCTTGACGGGATCTCACCTTGACGGGATCTCACCTTGACGGGATCTCACCTTGACGGGATCTCACCTGGACGGGATCTCACCTTCACGGGATCTCACCTTCACGGGATCTCACCTTGTCCGGATCTCACCTTGACAGGATCTCACCTTGTCGGGATCTCACCTTGATGGGATCTCACCTTGACGGGATCTCACCTGGACGGGATCTCACGTGGAATACAAAGCGGGTGGTGAAGCGATGCCAGAGCGCACCTTGAGCGGATCTCGCTGGAGCGCCCTGTGTTGGAAGCGCAGCAGAGCGGCCAGCAGCTCCAGCACCAGTGCGTTCACCTCGGGGGTGACCACCTGCTGGGAGTACCTGGTGGGGAGGGCGAGTGTGTGAGCCGCACAAGCACTGGGGTGCGGCGTGGCTACAGGGGTGTGGCGTGTCAAATAATCACAAGTGCACTGTGGCGGCGGCTTGCAATTCTTGGACTGTCTAATACTAGCACAAGAGGGGGTTGCGACTACCTGGTGGGTGGGAGGGCGTGATGAGGAGGTGAGTGAGAGGGGGTGATGAGGAGGTGAGTGAGAGGGGGTGATGAGGAGGTGAGTGAGAGGGGCTGATGAGGAGGTGAGCGAGAGGGAGTGATGAGGAGGTGAGTGAGAGGGGGTGATGAGGAGGTGAGTGAGAGGCGGTGATGAGGAGGTGAGTGCGAGGGGGTGATGAGGAGGTGAGTGAGAGGGGCTGATGAGGAGGTGAGCGAGAGGGAGTGCTGAGGAGGTGAGCGAGAGGGGGTGATGAGGAGGTGAGTGAGAGGCGGTGATGAGGAGGTGAGTGAGAGGGGGTGATGAGGAGGTGAGTGAGAGGGGGTGATGAGGAGGTGAGTGAGAGGGGGTGATGAGGAGGTAAGTGAGAGGGCGTGATGAGGAGGTGAGTGAGAGGGGGTGATGAGGAGGTGAGTGAGAGGGGGTGATGAGGAGGTGAGTGAGAGGGGGTGATGAGGAGGTGAGTGAGAGGGGCTGATGAGGAGGTGAGCGAGAGGGAGTGATGAGGAGGTGAGCGAGAGGGGGTGATGAGGAGGTGAGTGAGAGGGGGTGATGAGGAGGTGAGTGAGAGGGGGTGATGAGGAGGTGAGTGAGAGGCGGTGATGAGGAGGTGAGTGAGAGGGGGTGATGAGGAGGTGAGTGAGAGGGGGTGATGAGGAGGTGAGTGAGAGGGGGTGATGAGGAGGTAAGTGAGAGGGCGTGATGAGGAGGTGAGTGAGAGGGGGTGATGAGGAGGTGAGTGAGAGGGGGTGATGAGGAGGTGAGTGAGAGGGGGTGATGAGGAGGTGAGTGAGAGGGGGTGATGAGGAGGTGAGTGAGAGGCGGTGATGAGGAGGTGAGTGAGAGGGGGTGATGAGGAGGTGAGTGAGAGGGGGTGATGAGGAGGTGAGCGAGAGGGGGTGATGAGGAGGTGAGCGAGAGGGGGTGATGAGGAGGTGAGTGAGAGGGGGTGATAAGGAGGTGCGTGAGAGGGGGTGATGAGGAGGTGAGTGAGAGGGGGTGATGAGGAGGTGAGTGAGAGGGGGTGATGAGGAGGTGAGAGAGAGGGGGTGATGAGGAGGTGAGTGAGAGGGGGTGATGAGGAGGTGAGTGAGAGGGGGTGATGAGGAGGTGAGTGAGAGGGGGTGATGAGGAGGTGAGTGAGAGGGGGTGATGAGGAGGTAAGTGAGAGGGCGTGATGAGGAGGTGAGTGAGAGGGGGTGATGAGGAGGTGAGTGAGAGGGGGTGATGAGGAGGTGAGTGAGAGGGGGTGATGAGGAGGTGAGTGAGAGGGGGTGATGAGGAGGTGAGTGAGAGGCGGTGATGAGGAGGTGAGTGAGAGGGGGTGATGAGGAGGTGAGTGAGAGGGGGTGATGAGGAGGTGAGCGAGAGGGGGTGATGAGGAGGTGAGCGAGAGGGGGTGATGAGGAGGTGAGTGAGAGGGGGTGATAAGGAGGTGCGTGAGACGGGGTGATGAGGAGGTGAGTGAGAGGGGGTGATGAGGAGGTGAGTGAGAGGGGGTGATGAGGAGGTGAGAGAGAGGGGGTGATGAGGAGGTGAGTGAGAGGGGGTGATGAGGAGGTGAGTGAGAGGGGCTGATGAGGAGGTGAGTGAGAGGGGGTGATGAGGAGGTGAGTGAGAGGGGGTGATGAGGAGGTGAGTGAGAGGGGGTGATAAGGAGGTGAGTGAGAGAGGGTGATGAGGAGGTGAGTGAGAGGGGGTGATGAGGAGGTGAGTGAGAGGGGGTGATGAGGAGGTGAGAGAGAGGGGGTGATGAGGAGGTGAGTGAGAGGGGGTGATGAGGAGGTGAGTGAGAGGGGGTGATGAGGAGGTGAGTGAGAGGGGGTGATGAGGAGGTGAGTGAGAGGGCGTGATGAGGAGGTGAGTGAGAGGGGGTGATGAGGAGGTGAGTGAGAGGGGGTGATGAGGAGGTGAGTGAGAGGGGGTGATGAGGAGGTGAGCGAGAAGGGGTGATGAGGAGGTGAGTGAGAGGGGGTGATGAGGAGGTGAGTGAGAGGGGGTGATGAGGAGGTGAGAGAGAGGGGGTGATGAGGAGGTGAGTGAGAGGGGGTGATGAGGAGGTGAGTGAGAGGGGCTGATGAGGAGGTGAGTGAGAGGGGGTGATGAGGAGGTGAGTGAGAGGGGGTGATGAGGAGGTGAGTGAGAGGGGGTGATGAGGAGGTGAGCGAGAAGGGGTGATGAGGAGGTGAGTGAGAGGGGGTGATCAGGAGGTGAGTGAGAGGGGGTGATGAGGAGGTGAGAGAGAGTGGGTGATGAGGAGGTGAGTGAGAGGGGGTGATGAGGAGGTGAGTGAGAGGGGCTGATGAGGAGGTGAGTGAGAGGGGGTGATGAGGAGGTGAGTGAGAGGGGGTGATGAGGAGGTGAGTGAGAGGGGGTGATGAGGAGGTGAGCGAGAGGGGGTGATGAGGAGGTGAGAGCCGAGGAGAGGGCGTGGGCAAGGTGCAGAACATGAAACCGTATAACCGCATGAGGCAGCATGAGGCTGCATGAGGCAGCATGAGGCTGCATGGGGGTGAAGGATGGTGGACGAGGGTGTATGGTGCATACATGAGGGTGGATGCATGATGGTGCATGAGGGTGCATGACGGTGCATGATGGTGCATGATGGTGCAGGATGGTGCATGATGGTGCATGATGGTGCATGATAGTGCATGATGGTGCATGATGGTGCATGGTGGTGCATGATGGTGCATGATGGTGCATGATGGTGCATGATGGTGCATGATGGTGCATGATGGTGCATGATGGTGCATGATGGTGCATGATGGAGCGTGATGGTGCATGATGGTGCATGATGGTGCGTGATGGTGCATGATGGTGCATGATGGTGCATGAGGGTGCATGATGGTGCATGATGGTGCATGATGGTGCATGATGGTGCATGATGGTGCATGATGGTGCATGATGGTGCATGGTGGTGCATGATGGTGCATGATGGTGCATGATGGTGCATGATGGTGCATGATGGTGCATGATGGTGCATGATGGTGGATGATGGTGCATGATGGTGCATGATGGTGCATGATGGTGCATGATGGTGCATGATGGTGGATGATGGTGCATGATGGTGCATGATGGTGCATGATGGTGCATGATGGTGCGTGATGGTGCATGATGGTGCATGATGGTGCGTGATGGTGCGTGATGGTGCATGAGGGTGCATGAGGGTGCATGATGGTGCATGATGGTGCATGATGGTGCATGATGGTGCATGATGGTGCATGATGGTGCATGATGGTGCATGATGGTGCATGAGGATGCATGATGGTGCATGAGGGTGCATGATGGTGCATGGTTATGGTGCATGATGGTGCATGATGGTGCATGAGGGTGCATGATGGTGCATGAGGGTGCATGAGGGTGCATGATGGTGCATGATGGTGCATGATGGTGCATGATGGTGCATGATGGTGCATGATGGTGCATGATGGTGCATGATGGTGCATGAGGATGCATGATGGTGCATGAGGGTGCATGATGGTGCATGATGATGGTGCATGATGGTGCATGATGGTGCATGAGGGTGCATGAGGGTGCATGATGGTGCATGATGGTGCATGATGGTGCATAATGGTGCATGATGGTGCATGTTGGTGCATGAAGGTGCATGAGGGTGCATGATGGTGCATGGGGGTGCATGGTGCACGCATGAGAGACCAGGCCATTGACTCGAGTGCGACGCTCGCTAGGGAGGGCCCACTTGCTGATTGCTGCTGCTTGCCTCACCTGCTGCTTGCCTCACCTGATGCTTGCATCCACCCTAACGAACGTTGTCGGATGACCACGCCTCTGCCCTGCGCTACCTTCCTGCCCTCCCTTCGCCTCCCCTTCATCTTCTTCCTGCCCTCCCTCCTCCTCTTCCGTCTTCTCCTCCTCCGCCTCCCCCTTGACCACTCCGTCTCCCACACTGCTCGCCTCATCGCGCACACTCGTCTCATTCGCCGCCTGCTGTTCCAACCTCATGCACTCCCCTTGCGTATTCCCTCGCCCCTCCTCTCCTCCCTCTTTCCGCCTGCCCACTCGTTTCCCATCCGCCTGCCTGCCTTCCAATCGCCCTTGCTCTTTGCTCTTCTCCCGCCCATCCCTCGCCTCGTGCCGCTCCTCTCGTACGCCTTCCCGCGCGCCACCTCCGCTTCTCCCACCACCCGTCCGCCGCCCATCCCTCGCCACGTCGTCATGCTGCCGACGCCCCATGCCGCCCCTACTCGCCTGCGCCCCGCTCACTCGTTGCGACTCCGCTGCATCTCCAGCCGCACCCACACTGCCCCCGCCCTCTCCGCGCCCCCCCTCTCTCCTCTCTCCCCTGCCCTCTCCATCTCTCTCCCCCATCCCGCCCTCCTCCTTCCCCTGCCTCCCGTTTCCCTCCCGCCCCACACTGAGAGCACGTCCGCCTTCAAGCCTCTCACACGTCGCATCCTCGCCACGCCTCGCCTCCTCCCCTTCACCATCTGCCCAAGCCTCTCCCCACTCGCCTGCTTCCTCCACCAACCCCTCCGCTGCTCTCTCCTGCTGCTCAGCTCTCTGCCACTCTTCTTCCTCCTCCCTATCCTCCACGTCCTCCTCCCTATCCTCCACGTCCTCCTCCCGCTCCTCCCCCTTCTTGCAAGCCCACTTCGTTCTCTCCCCTTCTCCATCCTCCCCACCTCTCCCGGCCTCCTGCTTCCCCGCCCACCCCACCGCATGCCATGCCATCTCATGCTTCTCCCCACGCGCCTCATCCTCTCCCTCCCCCTCCGCTGCATCCTCCCCCTCCCTTCCCCTGCGCGCCTGCAGCACGAGTCGCTTAACTCGGCTCGCTCGCTTCTTCTTCGGCGCCGCCCTCTCTTTGCCGCGCCTCGCGGCGATGGTCTCAGAGGTCGCTGGGTTCACGGCCACGCGCCCTGCACCGCCCACCGCCCTCTCCGCGCCGCGCCGTGCCGCTGCGCCCTCGGCTGTTCCTGGGTTCACCCGCGCGCGCCCTCCCTCCCTCGCCTTGCACCCGCCTTCCCCCGTCCCCCCTCTTCCCGCCTTCCCCACCAGCCGCCCTGCGCCTTCACCTGTCCCCCGCCCTGCTGCTCCGTCCACTCCGTTCCCTCCGTCCACTCCTCGCACGCCTTGCCTCGTGCCCGCAGGGCTCACAGCACACGCGCCCGCATCATCGCTCCCACCACCCCTCCCTCCTACGGCTCCTCTCCCAACCCCGCCTCCCCTTCCCCCTCCGCCCAGCCTCCCCTCCCCGCCAGTCCCCCTGCGCCCATCTCCTGCGTGTTCCATTTTCCCTCCGCGTCCCTCCCCCTCACGGAAGGCGCCATCTGGGCTCCCCCTGCCCCTTCCGCGCGCCACACTTCGCGCGGACTCGTGCAGGGGCGGCGTTGGGGGCGCGGGCACAGCAGGGGCGGCAGCGGCGGCGGCGGCGGCGGCGACGAAGTGATGCAGGTGGAGCGCGGTCGGCGCGGGCCGCCACGGCTTCCTCGTCGCGCCGCCGCCGCTCCTGGCTTTGCTAGCAACCGCCTTGCTGCTGCTGCTACAATCGCCGCCGCCGCCTCCGCCGCCGCCTCCGCCTCCGTCGCCGCTGCTGGTGCTGCGGCTCGAAATCCCGCTGCCGCCCCTACGGCTGCTTCTGCCGACTTTGCTTTCGCTGCTCTCCGCCATCGCGAATCGGTTTGGATCGCACCCTCGTCGCCGTCTGTCGCACTCTCGTCGCCGTCTGTCGCACTCTCGTCAACGAGCGGCGCTATCTCTGTGTCCGTCGGTATCTCTGCACCCGCCTCTATCCGGCAGTCGCTACAGCACCATGCGCTCCCCCATCGCCTTCGCCGCGCCACCCCCGCTGCTCACCCCGCTCTCACTCCCTCTCTCCCTTCCCACACCCGCCCCGAACGGGCTCGCCCTTGATCGGCCTCATCTGTGAACGAGTCTGCCCTTATCGAGAAGCTTCACGCATCCAGGCAGCGCGTCAATTGGCAACTCGCCGCGACTAAGTAAGGCCCGAGCGAACTGCGATGAGCCATCGCACATGGCAAGCGTGGATTGGGAATAGCGACATGGTGTTTGCTTCCCGAGAGTATTATTGCGCCACGCTGTATTGCATGCGTAATTATTTTCGTATCACCGTATTATTTGCGTGCCCGTTTCGCGGCCCAGAATTATCATCATCACGCTGCCGCTCGCGTGGCGGCCCTTATGGCCAATTTCGAGCTTCATTTTGATTATCACGGCCGGGCAGTTCGTTTCCATTTTTGCGGTCAGGTTATACCACGCACAGTTTGCCGGTTTCGCAAATCACACATGCGAACATCGGTTTGCACAGCTTCGGCATGCTCAGGGTTAGGGCTTGAGCGAGAAATCTGATCCGAGGGTCTCGTCAGACCACTGATCCAGGCCTCTGGAGTGTGACAAGGCAGCTCCGTGAACCGACTTCCCGCTTCCGAGAGCCTGGGATATGGGAAAACACTGGTGACTCCAGTTTGAAGGGTCGACACGACACTGTCGGGGTACAGACTCGGCAAATATCTTCTGACAGTGGTCACCCCACTTGCCAGCACCCCCCCCCCAGAACGAGTTGCCCCAACTCAAAATTTCAGGACGAAACATACTTTTACAGTCAGGATAACACCAAGAGTTTAAAAATGGCCATAAAGACCGCCACGCGAGCGGCTGCACGATGATGACAATTCTGGGCTGCAAAACAGGCAGGCAAATAATACGGTGATACGAAAATAATTGCGCATGCAATATGGCGTGGAGCAATAATGCTCTCTTGCTCCCCCCTTTCGAGGCTCGTGGCTACTGCTGCGTTTCACTCGGCTTTCAAGCTCGTTTTGAGTGCAATCGAGGTTGACTAGAAAGAAACAAAACGTTCACGAAGGCCCCAATCTACTTCATGTCCTACAAAGTGAGCCTGAGGGAAAATTACTGTCGCGGACTTTCCGAAAATCTTTTCATACTTTCGTGGACAGCCCCTACTTTCATGGACACCACATCAACCTTTCGCTTCTCCCGTGGACTCCGTCCCTACTTTCATGGACATCCGCCTTACTTCCATGGACAAGGTCGAAATCGCAGGAAATAGGCGAAAACTCAACTGTACAAAAAATGACGGGCGCTGAAAAAAAAAAAAAAAAAAAAAAAAAAAACAGCGGCTCAGCGTGCATCGCAAAGAGTCGGGCACTACAGTGTCCCACACCTAATCCGAAACAGAATCTCCCAGAAATTGGGAACATGACTTTCACGCCAGGTTTTCGTTTGGTGCTTTGGCACAAAAAGTCATGTGACGAGTGATTCGGCAGGCAGTACCCACACGTTTCTACGTAACTGTACTTCAGAAGGAAAAATCGGTACGCTCTGTAAATTTGTCTACCAGTTCAGACTAGTGCTGCTGTTGTTGTTTACATCATATTCGCAAAAGGAAAGGTTTCGTTCTCATGATTAATGTTTTTGGAAAATTTCCCTGCGTAACTTCCAAAATATATTATGTTTTTTAACAAGGCTCTAAATAAAAAATTCTTCTTTGAAATACAATTCTGATTCTGTTTCGGATTAGGTTTGGGGCACTGTAGTGCACGACTCTTTGCGACGCACGCTGAGCCGCTGTTCTTTTTTTCAGCGCCCGTCATTTTTTGTACAGTTGAGTTTTCGCCTATTTCCTGCAATTTCGACCTTGTCCATGGAAGTAAGGCGGATGTCTATGAAAGTAGGGACGGAGTCCACGGGAGAAGCGAAAGGTTGATGTGGTGTCCATGAAAGTAGGGGCTGTCCACGAAAGTATGAAAAGATTTGCGGACAGTCCGCGGCAGTAAGTTTCCCCCTAAGGGGCCTCAAGAAGGGTCTCCAAAAATTCCTAACTCCACTAATTCAGCACACCTTCTATACGACTTACCGATTTCAATCTCCCCTGCACACTAACTTGCAAACCTAGCTAAGGTGCTTGTTGGAAATGATGTAAATACTTGCGTGAGTGTACAAATACTCTACAACAACGGGGATTACCGAGTCAACACTGCTACAGTACTACCGACAGTTGACGTGGGTTGACGACAACCCGCACAGGTTACGAAAGGGCAACGGTCGCAGACCGTTGACCGTGCAACCCAACAGTCAGAATCGCAAGAGTCAAGAGTCAGCGCAACAGTAGAACAAATAACCGTCCCGATATTACAGTACAGGTGGTTACCCATGTTGTGATAAAATCGTACTTAAGCATTTCTTGTCAAACATAACTTAGTTTGTTACTGTAGACTACACAGGTTTGTGCCTTAAAGGGTATAACACACTAGTCTATATTGCCTTGTACCCTTCCATTCTAGTCATACTTTGTTTCTGATATGGTATCATAAGTAGGTAGGTCCCGCACTTCCGCCCTAGGTCATAGCCGCCCCGTTCCCCCCTAGCTAGCCCGCACGCCCGTTCCTAGCCGGCCCCCGCGCCCGCCCCTAGTCGGCCATGCGCCCGTTCTTAGCTGGCCCCCAAGCGCCTGTTCCTCGCCGGCCCTCGCACCCGTCCCCGCCGGCCCCTTAGCGCCCGTTCCAGCCGGCCCTCGCGCCCGTTCCGGCCGCCCCGCGTCGGCCCCGCGCCCGCTCCTGACCGGCCCCGCGCCCGCTCCTCGTCAGCCGGCCCACCGCCGGTCCCAGAGCTCGTTTTGTAGCCGACCCGCTCCCCCGTCCTGTGGTCGGCCCGTCCTACACAGCCTCGCGTCACACTGCACCGCACTGCACCGCCCCTCACCCATCTGCACCGCACAGCACCGCACTGCACCGCTCTGCACTGCACTGTATCACACCGCACTACACCGCACTGCACCGCACTGTACTGCTGCTGCATCGCTCCAGATGGCGGAGTCCATGCTCCGCTTCGACACGGAGGGTCAGCCGCTCCAGTTGACGCGTGGCTGGTCGACCTCCGCCGTCATCTCACTAGACAGCGGCAAGATGGCCACCCACTTGCGGTCCACCTTGACGGTACGCTTCCCTTCCCTAACCCCCTTGCTGCCCTACCCGCTCACCCCTCGTCCGCTGATCGTGAGTCCGCTGCAGCTGTTGCCCTTGCCCGTTCAGTCTGGTTGTCGCATGATGCCGTTGCGCAGCATGCGATCAGTCACGCCCTCCCCCTGTCTGAGTGCCCCCGCTGTAGGTCGGTCACGACTGCGCAGGAGTTCCTAGATGCTGTTATCGAGCGCTATTCTACCCCGCCCGCTGCCTCTGTCGGTCGCTTGATCCTACCCATGCTCTTCCCTGACGTTGCGTCTTTCATCACTGTCGCTGACCTCGCCGCTCACCTGCGCACTATAGACCCGACCTAGCGCTCTGCCTGCACTGGGACCCAGCTTAGAGCCCATCAGCCGCCCCTCTGCTCTACCCTCTACCTGCTTGCCACCCGCCTCCCTGACCGTCTTGCCACTGCCCGCGACCGCTTTCTTAGCATCCACCCTAGTGACCTCACCCTCACCGACTTTGTCGACACCCTGTCTGCCATAGAGACCCGCCAGCGCTCTATCGCCCAGACCAGCGGTACTGTGCCGGTCCCTATCTTTCAGGGTTGTGCCCCCGCTCAGTGCACCTTCTCAGACGGTTCCGCTGCTGTGGCTGAGACTGCAGCTGCAGCGCAGTTCCGTCCGGGGAAGGGTCGCCGCCCCAAGATTGGGTGCGGCGGAGGGGGTGGCGATGCAGGTGGAGGTGGTGGTGGAGTCGGGTCGCCTGGTGGTAGGGCGGACGAGGGGACTATGCCTAGTGCAGCCGAGCAGCCATCCCAGCAGCCGCCGGCGTCGCAGCCGGACCAGCACCAGCCCCAGAAGCAGCCCCAGCACCAGCCGCAGCAGTCGCAGCAACCGCCGCAGTCGCAGCAGCCGCAGCAGCAGAGGCGGGCGAGTGGTCTCCCGCCCGGGTGGCCTGGCGCTGGTGGCGGCGGTGGACGTGGTGGTCGTGCGCGTGGTGTGCCTCCGGGTGGCAGTTCGGGTGACGGGCGCTGTCAGTACCAGCTCCAGACCGGTCCTCGCCGCGGCTCCGTTTGTGGTAAGATCGGTCACACTCCCGTCCGCTGATTTTGTCGCCTGGACGACCTGTTTCGTCTTCGCTTCGGCCCGCCGCCTGACCTCCCCGACTGGTACAGCTTGCTTCGCCGTAGTATTCCGATTTTTGATATGGACATGGATGAGCTTAGCTCTGCCTTGTATGTGCTGTATGCTGATGACTCTAGTGTGACTGGTTCTTACTACCCCTTGTTGCCTAGTGTAGGTTTGTCTAGTCGTGCATCCCCTGCTGAATCAGGCGTAGGATCCCCTACCTTGTTTAGCCTTGGTTCCTCACAGGCTGCTCCGACTCTGACTGCCACTGCTGCGCTCTCCTTCACCCTGGACTCTGGCCCTTCCCGGTGTTTCTTCCGCGACTCCACTACGCTGACGCCGCTTGCTGCTCCTGCCGCAGTTTCCCTTGCTGACCCCACCTCCGGTCCGGTAGTCGCCTGTAGTTCCACCACCCTTCCCTGTCCTGCGGCTCCTTCGGGCTCTCTTCCAGGCCTGCACGTCCCCTCGTTTTCGAGGAACCTAGTTGGTGTTGGCTGCCTCCAGGACCTTGGCGTCACCACTACGTTCTCTGGCCACGAGCGGTTTGCTGCCTGTACCGAGGCTGCCACTGGTGCCCCCCTCACCACATTCCCCTGGGACCCGGTGTCTGGCCTGTTCACCTTGGACACCGCGCCCCCACCGGTTGGGACGCCTCCTCAGGTAGCTGCGTCTCCTCAGGTTGCTGCGGCATGCTCGTGTCGGTCGCTCACTCACCCGACACTCCTGTGGCACCACCGTCTAGGTCACCCTGCACTCCCGCATCTGCGCCACATGTCCCAGCACGGTCTGGTCCTAGGTCTTCCAGGGTCCTTCCCCGAGTTGCCCTCCTCCCCCGCGCAGCCGTGCTTGCCCTGTATCGAGGGGCGGCTCCGTCTTTCCCCTCACTACTCCTCGTTCCCCCCCACTGCCGCACCACTACAAACCCTGCACATGGATGTCTGGGGCCCCGCCCCTGTCCGTGGGCCGCGTCGTGAGCGCTACTTCCTTGTGCTTGTCGATGACTACACGCGCTACACCACTGTCTTTCCCCTGGAGCGGAAGGCCGACGTGCCTAACGTTCTTATCCCGTAGCTTGTCGCTGCGCGTGTCCACTGCGG